AGGAGGAGGAGGAGGAGGAGGAGGAGAAGGGGGAGCGGCGGGTCCGAGAGTCGATTCTCGCTATTTGCTGGGCTCCGCGTGAAATGCAGCCCTGCATGTGGCGGTAGCCGGACTTGCCGATGCAGCTGGCCTGTGCATTTCTGCCATTTCTGTTTGTTCTCACGCTGCGCATCTGGGCGATTCGCTTTGACGTCTGGCTCTGACAGGCATCTCCGTAATTATGTTGACCGCCTCGCGTGACGCTGCTCTTCACAAACAGGCTCGTATTGCTTTGCCTCTTCTAGTCATGCTCGGCTTCAGCTCTCTGCTCAACGAGCGAATCGTCTTCGTCCACCACGGTAAATCGATGCCGAGCAATCATCACGGCTACGCCCTTGAGCCGGCTCTTGCGTGGCTTCTTGAGCGGTTTGTGCAGCAGCCGCTTTTCCGCCTCGTGCTCCCCCTGCCTCGCCAGTCGATTGCGCACCTCGCGCTTGGGCGAGCCGTGCCGGTCGCGAGCCCCGCCCCACTTGAGTGTCATGCTGCGTCGTAGTCGTGCTCCCCCTCGTGCGTTGTCTTCGCTAGCAGCCGGGTTGCTCTCGGCGGCAGGTGCAGAGAGCTCGAGCTTGACCGGAGAGCGCTGCCAGATGCCCTCGTGCATGCCCAGCTCTTCCAGCCGCACGTTCTGGCAGCGTGGAGACGGCTCGATGTCGACAGTATCGTCAGTGGGCTCGGGGTGTGGCGCTCGCGACTCTGCGACTCGGCACCGCATCCGGCTGCGCGGCGTGACAAACGGCAGCATACCCGGCGCCGGCATGCTACCCTCGCCCTCTTCGTCCAGCTCGGCGTGCGAGCTGTCCGTCGGCGTGTGTACTGTCCTGGACATGCGCAGACCGAGATACACCGTGTTTCTACCTGTACTCGGCGTGTGCATCTCTCCCAAGCCTCCCGCCTCGTTCCTGCTTGCTCTAGCACTCGCAGCCTCGCTGCACGCAGGCGAGGTAGCCGCCTCGGTGACCTCGTCGATCTGCGACAGCGTCTTGTGCGGGAACATCGCCTCGTGCTGCGCCAACAATAGCCTCTGCCACTCTCCCTGATCCATTTGCCCCGCGCTTGACGCGAGCTCGCATTCAGCCTCGCTCTCCTCCTCGACCGTATCCAAAAACGGCGCGGCTGCGAGCCTCACCATCTTGTAGCTCTCGACGATCTCGGCCTCTGACACCCCCTCCTCTTCCAGATCGCACAGAGGCAGGCTTACGTCGGAGAGATCCCCCGTCATATCGCGCGTCCATTCGCTCACCGCGGAGCTGGATGCACGTTCCTCGATGTCGACGTCGTCCAGCACCTCGACGGCATCGTCGCCGTCGATGAGTGAATCTTCCTGCGATCCCATCCTTCGATGTTGCGGAGCTGCCGGCGAAGGCGAACAGCCCACATCGAGCAGCGACGACTGACACGTCCCCGCACTTGTCGACGGAGAACTCTCCACCCCCACCCTTCTTCCCCACGATGCGCTGCGAACCAGTGTGCCGAGCTCGATCCCAAACGCGGAAGCAAACGTGCGGCTGCGCATCTTCTTGACCGCTGGCGAGTCGGCATCTCTGCCTCCCATTGCGCGCAGCCGAGTCGAAATGCTGCTGAGCGAAAAGCCGCTCGATGCCGATCCTGTCCGTCGATGTCCTCTACACTCATCCCCTTCGAGGTGGGAGGCATTGGTAGAGAAGTAGCTCGACTCCGGGTGCACGATGACGGTGCCCCTACTTGCATCTTGGAGCGCAGCATATCCTCGCGGGGGTGTCCTTTTCAGCCCTGCACCGACTGAACGTGGTTCCGAAGCGTCGGTACCGCGAACCAGCTCCATGATCTCGTTGAACAGCCTTGCTGCACCACTGCCCAGGACCTGCGACTCTTCGTTCGAGAAGCTCCTTGTCGGTGTTTCGGCGGGCTCGTGTACACGCTTGGTGGGCGACCTTAAATCGCTGTGCTCGTCCAGCTGCTCCCTCCATCGCCTGGCGCTCCCGGGCGAGTCGTCTAGCGCTTCCGCCTCCTGCGGCAGTGCTTCGTGGTCGTACGCAGTCTCCTCGCCCGCAACTGCTTCGAGCGTGGTCACCGACTCGGCTCGTCGATCCGAGATGCACGTATGCTCACTGTCCACCGTCGTCTCTTGCGCTTGCAGTAATCCTTGTCCAACCGCAAACGTCGCCGAAGATCCCCCCACCCTCCTTTCCTCCTTTCTTGGCTGTTCCGAGACGCTATGCCGGGCAGGCAGGACTTCCCGCCTGGGCTTGGGGTTGACGAGCAGATTGAGTGCACGCATCCAGCTGCTTCTCGGCGCCACCCTATCGCCGCTCACCTTGCCCGCTGCCCAGTGATGGCGTAGGTACGGCACGCTTTTCGCCGACGTCAGACTGCCGCGATGTGTAGCCGTGTAGCCGTTTCCCGCCTGGAGCGGGTACGAGTAGGAGCGCAAATGACGCACGCGCGATGCAGCTGCCACCACCACTACCGAGTCCGAGCCGTGCGTCGAGTTACTGTCCGCTTCCAATGTGGCCTCTTCCGCCTCGATTTCCGCTTCCCGAGTGCGGGGGTGGAGCCAGTCACGGGCGCTCTTGATGATGATCATCACGGCGGGAGTGCAAAAGCCGACAACGATAAGGTACGTCTGCGCGGCTGATGGGTTGATCAGCAGGGCAGTGCTGCTCAGTGCGACCGGCAGCACCAGTGTGCAGAGCGAGCCCGGCAGAAGCATTCGATGCGACTCGACTCGCATTCGCACAGCGCCCATCGCCGGATTGGCTGCAGCTCGAGCCGCCTTGCGTCGTGCCGATGGCGGGGCGAAATCCGACCATCGGTTTGTGTGCTTTTGCGCGACATGCGTGTATGAAGTTGGCTGGCTTAGATCCGATCCTTCCGCACGCGCAAACGAGAGCGTGGAGCGGTACGGGTTGGCGGAGCTCGCGATGGCCGATCCATATCCCGACGTAGGTGCCGTTCCCACCTCCTGCCCTCCATCGTCAAGGATCCCGCTGACGATGCGTCCACCGTACTCCAAATCCACGCCGCTCGTCTCTGTCTCTTTCGCTCCGCCTGCGAATGCTTGAATCTGAACACGCGTTTCGGGAGGAAGCGAGACAGTTGGAATCGGGGTTTGCGTCACTGACCTTGCGCTGATTTTCGTGCTCGTGTGAACGATCAAGGTTGCTGCCGCGAGGGTGAAGAGCAGCTGTATGGCTATGGCCATGCCTTTGACCGCGGGGACACGTGCACAACCCACTCTCGCTCCTGCGGGGTGCGAGAACTCGCACTGCACACTCGTAATCGTCGCCGCACCTACGATGCCCACCGCCGCCGCGGCTGCAAGCGGAATCGCCTGCGATCTGCGCATCCTTCTGCTCAGCACCACATTTGCTGCGAGTACCGCCACGAGTGCCGGACGCAGCAGTAGAGCGATAGTGGCGAAGAACGTGCTCGGTGTACCTGCGAACGCGGTTTGCACGATCGACTTTGAGCCCGGCGATAAAGCGTCGTGGATGAGTAGGGGCAGGAGTGCGAGCAGCAGTGCTGTGTCAAGAAGGTGGACGTATAGCTGTGGGTCGCGTCCATTTGAGCGGCACTGGGTTCGGCGCCGGAGTGAAAAAGTTGCGGTGCCCAGGATCACTGTGCCCACGAGCACCGCCAGCAGCGACGCGAGCATGGATGCATCCACCATGATTCAGGTCGAACTTGCATGCGAGCTGAGAGAGAGAAGGAGGAAAGTGTGGTGGTGCTGTTGCAAGCGGAGGAACCCGATCAAAGCGGCAATCCTTGGCTCGACGGCAACGACAAGGGCGGGACCAGCGAGGCTGAGCGCTGCGCTTTCATTTCATTTACTCATTTACAAGCTCGACGGAAGCATCACGGCGGCCGATCTGCGGGCAGTGCGCAGCGGGGCTTCATGTGCGTTGCGCCGAAAGACGGTCGGCCGCCCCTGCTGCTGCTGCTGCTGCTGCTGCGAGTCACAGTGCAAGTGCTGCGCTGAAAGACATGCGCAGACGGTGGAGCTAGAGGCTAATCCATGGCGATGCGCAGCAGCTGCGCAGATTCGGCATCGCCCCAACAGCTGTCATTTCGACGCCATCGCCGGCCAAAATCTAAATTTGTGTGATCTACACAATCCAACAACTTTGGTTGTCTAGTGTCAATCGATCTAACACCCTATCTGTGACGCGCCATTCGCGCCAACGACGAGCGCAATTCGATGATGGCCTTTGCGCCGAGGAGCGAGATCAACACCTTTTTGGATCCAACACACACGCGCGCGCTTCTTGTCTCCTCCTCACCAACACCACCACCATCTCACCACTGGCGACCATGGGCGAATCACGCACCGAACTCATCAACTGGATCAACGAGCTGCTCGGCTTCTCGTACACCAAGGTCGAGCAGTGCGGCTCCGGTGCAGCGTACGCACAGATCATCGACTCGATCTACCTCAACGTCCCCCTCGTCAAGATCAAGTTCGACGCCAAGCACGACTACGAGTACATCAACAACTTCAAGGTGCTGCAGGATGCGTTCAAGCGCAACCGCATCGACAAGCCCATCCCCGTCGACCGTCTGATCCGATGCAAGATGCAGGACAACCTCGAGTTCCTCCAGTGGCTCAAGAAGTTCTGGGACATGAACTTCCCCGGCGAGCCGTACGATGCCGAAGCACGAAGGATGGGCGCTGCAGCTGCACCACCACCGCTCGTGGGGGCTGTTAGCGTAGGCGCTGCACGCAACGCACCTGCTGCATCCGCGAGGGCTCCCGTTCGAGCCGCTGCTGCAACACGGCCCTCTGCAACCGCGCCCGTTCGAAGAGCCGCGCCCGCAACAGCATCAGCAAGGGCAGCACCTCAGGTTCCCAACGAGACCATCCACGCACTCACGCAGCAGATGGACGAGATGAAGGTCAGCGTAGACTCGCTCGAAAAGGAACGCGACTTCTACTTTGCCAAGCTGCGAGACATTGAGATCCTCGTCCAGGAGCGTCTCGCCATCCTCGCCGAGCAGTATCCGCCACCCGAGGAGGGCGCCGAGGAGGAAGAACCGCCCACCGAGGAGCACGAGAGCCTCCGACAGATCCAGGCCATCCTCTACTCGACAGAGGAAGGCTTCGAGGTGCCAGATGCCGCAGAGGTCGCACAGGACGAAGAAGAGATGTTCTGAACCCTCACACACACACACACACAGAGCACACAGAGCGC